ACTTTCCATCTAAATTTATTTCTTTTTTAATATTTTTAGGCAAATAATAATGAGACTTATACTTGCTGATGATCCACTCAGCAGTTTTATCTTTCAATTCTTTATTATATGTATTCATATATCTTCAAGATTGTGAGTGAATTTGTGAATTGTTATTACAGGGACATTAATAAGAGCCTCTGGAACTTGCTCTAATAAGTTAGCATAATTATAGTTACATACTTTTCTTGTCTCTCATTTCACGTAATTCCAGTATTTCTCTATAAAATTACATTCACAATGAAACTTGGGATAACATTCAAAAATATGTCTTGCTTTAGTGACTGTCTCCTCAAGTATCGATAGTTATTCACAAAAATCAGGTTACTATAACATGATTTATCATGTACAGCAGTTTGAAATTTCTGAATTATCATTATTTTTCTCTGAGCATCATTCACATACTAAATGAATTTTTTTTGCTGGTTATAGATTACACTCTTCAAGTATTCATTTAATTCCTTTTGGCTGTTCTGTTAGTCTCATCACCAGGTAATTATCTGGGAATATCATTAATTGATCGCATTTTTCTCTATGTTCATTAATATACTATTCGTTATGCATTTTAGATTGTCCTCCTCCAGAATTCAGGTTCATTCTTGTCATAATTAATGTATCTGCTGTCATAGTATTATAATTCATTAATTGATCAAAACAGAAAACACAAACACATTTGGAATGCAATATTTCAAAGATCAGAATTGCTCTCTATATAAGTTGATCTAATATATATTCTGATTTTTAGTACCCATCTGATTGTATAGAACAAAGAATGAATATTTCCTTGTATTCTATATGTGAATTCATCTGTATTTGCTCATCAGATAGCTATAATAATTCGTGACATGGACAAAAAAAGACTGAAATCATAATGGAATGTTCCATGTATTTTGAGCATAGAATATCTTCATTTTTTTAGATTTAGATTTTTATTATCTATTATTTGCGTAAAAATAGTATTCGTTGTATGTTACTTGCATGAATTCATTTTCTCTGGGATTGAGCTGGAATTTTAATATAATATTCAACATATCACTATTGAAGCTTTTTATGTATCTTCTATATATAAACATTCTACTCAATCATTCTCTTCTATATATTACTATATCTAATTGCTCATGTTCATCATAATAAACATTTTTTTTTATCATATCTATATCCTCATAGATACATGTAAATTTAACATGTTCTTTTAGAGATAATATTTTTTTAATACATTCTATTACTTTGAAAAATATCATTACTTCAATATATATTTTTAAGACTTCAGAAGAATGTGACTCTGATATTTGTTGATATAGCCAAGCTCAATAATCTTCAGAAAAATCTTTATTTTCAATTAAGCTTTTCAGTTTTATATGCTTTTCCTGATAATTAACAAGAAGTTCACCTATTTGTATGTAATAGTCTCATCATTTTTTAATGCATTTTGTCAGATAATCTCTTTTACTTTATATTGTTTGTGCAATATAAGTGTTGATATTCATCTTATCCTTTTCATCTAACAATAACTTAATAAATCTACTTATGCTCAAAAGGCATTGTCACGATCAGGCTCCTGGTAGGTATAATTGTGACATAGGTGTTCAACCAATATCTAACAATGGTAATTTTATGGTTACTCGATCTTATTATAGTTGATATACTTTGGGATTGCCACGTGGTGCATTTTCTTTTATCTTATAGATAGGCTCTCACTATTACTAATAGATATTATGTCTACTTAGTGTGGGACAGTTCTATAGCAATACAGTACTGATATTCTATAGCAACTTTGACGGTTATCCAATAGTGCACAATAATGCAAGTATTTTAATAAGTTATTATTTAATTAATTAAGTGTACAAATTTTATTAATAATAAATAAGGAACAGTTTATTAACTAGCTAAATTTTTGTATTGATCAATTAATGCCTTTTGGTTTATCTAAAAGATCCTTTATTTATATAAAATAATTTATGACTAAGTTATTACAATGTGAAATATGTTATAAATGTCAAATAAATATGATATAGTGAATAATGTTGATATGATTGAGAATTCTGCTATCTCTGCTATCTCTACAATCTATATTTAGTCACATGATTAGAACTAAGAAATTAAGGAATTAAGGATAATTCTGGGTCATAACAGCATAAATAATCATATGTAAATATGTTAATCTTTGAGATTTTGTAATTTAGCATTACCAATGTCATGATCAGGCTCCTGATAGGTATTATCATGACATAGATGTTCAATCAATATCTAATGATAGTAATTTTACAGTTACTCAATCTCATCATAATAAATATACTCTGAGATCACTACACAATACATTTTTTTTTATCTTATAAGCTCTCACTATTACTAATAAATTTAGTGTGTGACAATTCTATAACAATACAATACTGATATTCTATAATAACTTTGATGGTTGTCCAATAGTGCGCAATAAATGCAAGTATTTTAATAAGTTATTATTCAATCAATTAAATGTACAAATTTTATTAACAATAAACAAGAAATAGTTTATTAACTAGCTAGATTTTGTATTGATCAATTGATACCTTTTTTAAAGCTTCAATTATACTTTATTTATAATAAATATTTTTCACTAATAAATGTTACATTTATAATTAATTATATAAGTTGATAAATAATAGATACTATGTAAGTTGCGATAATTATGATAATTATTGTAAATAATGATAATTATGATAATTGTTGTAAATGATGATAATTACTGTAATTATTAAAATTATGAAAATTATGGAAATTATGAAAATTTCCAGTTGTAACAATATTCACTAGATCACTTAAATTCTATTGATCTAATATTCATTTATTCATTTGCTTGTTTATTTATTTGTTTATTTGTTTGCTTATTCATTTGCTTGTTTCATGTAACTAAGTTCTTCCAATAAGATATAAAATATTTATAATCCAATAATATTAAGTATAAATAATCTAGTAAAATATTTGATTAAAGTTTATTATATAACAATATCTAAGCCTGTGCCAATTTTGACAAAAATTATTAAAGAGTTTTTATCAGAAGGTAAAAAAAGAGATTGGAAAAGTGTTTTCAAAAGGATAATTAACTAATAAATTGCTAAAAGAAATATCACTTATTTAGAGTTATAGTACATAACTATATAATTCAATATTACTTATTTAAAGTTACAGTGCACAAATATATAATTCAATATCACTTATTTAAAGTTGTGATGTACAGCTATTCAAAAATAATACTATAACAAATCAATATGCTTACCCAAAAATATTTTAACTGTCTTTTTCAAATTTAAAGACAAAAATATAATAGTCAAAAATTCAATTCTATACAAATTAATATTCAGTTTCTTGATCTTGCTCAAGATTTATAAAAAGTGACTTGAATTATAAGATTTGAAGTTCAATTAACAAACTATTTTTGTCAGATAACTTGATCTAATGGAAGAAGATATAAGAATAAATATTAATTTTATAACAATAAGACAATCATTAACTTATTGTATTAAAGATTAAAATTTATTAATTTATTTGAAGTATGAGAGAGAGTATGTTAAAACAATAAATACTCCTATTTATATAAACTTTCTCAATATATTTTAATACTATCTAGAAAATAAAGATAAAAAAGATAGAAACCACTAAATTAAAAATGATAAATAATAATTATATGATTACTAAATAACTAATATATATAAACTATTTTTATTGATTTGTTGTTTTATTACTATTTTTAAAGATTTTTGTATTTTTTACTATTTTTAAAAGATTCGTTAATTAAAGAATTTTTGAAAATAAATATAACACTATAATATTTATATGTTTATTTTTCTATTTTATTTTTTCTATTTTATATTATTTTTATTCTTATATTTTTTCACTTTTATTAACTTATTTTATTATTAATTAATTTATTTTTTTACTTATTAAATTAAAAAGTTGGTCACTCTTATATAAAATTAATACAAATATTTTTTTTATTAATAAAATTATCAAATTAATATATGATTAACATCTAAAATTTGGCCACTTAAAATTTTTGGTTGGGACAATAGCCGTGATGGCATCAAGAGGTGTGAACCAAACTCCTGAAACGGTGAAATAGAAATCAGACATTTAGTATACGGATTATTGTTAGTGTCGTAGAGCTCAAAGAATGTGAGCATTCATTTCATGGTCTAGTGGCCTAGTGACCTAGTGATTCCTCCCTTGCAAGCTCGCGAGTATTTTATGTACTGTTTTAATCATAATTTACTGCATTTGGAGAATTTAAAAATATTAAAAGGTAATTTCAACGTTAGGGTTAGTGTTAGGGTTGGGAAGGAGGCCAAGGTTATATTTAAAATTGACTTCCCGACATTTTTAATTAGTGCTCCAAGAAAAATTTAAGTACCTGTTTTCAGTATTTTTTTCATTTTTTGTCTTTTCTTTGCTTCAAATTTGTTTTGCGGATGGATTACGCTTTAATCGATCCCGCATTTGGTAATTGGAGTTTTGCGAAATTATTAATAAAAAGTGTTATATATAGAGCAAAAATTTATAGATTTGCAAAATGCAGTCGTGAATCGTGTCTGGATAACCAGAGTTTCTCAACTTCAGCCGCGTAATACAATGGACCTTAAAATTCTTAAGAATCTTGAGTATAAATATGATCTTTATTCCATTGCAAAACTTGCCAAGTAATTCTTTTAATGAATTATGAAAAGAAATCCAACAATGCTAAACTAACAATGCTAAAACAATAATGCTATAATAATAAAATGATGATGATGATGATGATGATGATGATGATGTTGTTACAATAATAATGCTATAATAATATTGGCGTCTCAATTATTTTATATTAGTTCGGGGGATTCGATTCATGTAATCTAGATAATTTTTACGCGCGGTTTGAACTAATGCTATAATATTACTATATATTGTTTGTAATGGAGATGCTATACAACAAGATCACCCGGAATTATTTACCATTCCAACTTATTATCCCCACAGCCACCACTACCACACCCAACTTCAACGGTACTTCCCAAGCGTACAACACTAGATTTTCGTTCTTTTTTGATATGATTCTTATTAACCATCCACTTTTTTGTCCCAAGTATCCTATCAAGCTCTTCGGTGGGCGGAAGATGTAACCACACGTGATTATCTTCAATCTTGACATCAAACGTCATGATCTTTAATTCATTATCAGAAATACACTCGCCCGTCTCAAGAGCAAAGTTCTTCTTATGCATCGGGCAACTAACTTTTATGGTTCCATTCTCGTCGTCACCAACTAAACCTTGCGATAGTACGAACGCGCGTTTGTGTGGGCACATGTTCTGTGTCGCGTACCACTTTGTGCGTGAATGTGTATTGAACACGGCTATCTGTACATCTCCATATTTAATAACTTCTCCCCCGTCCAATGGAAAAGAATCGACAGGTGAAAGTTTAAACCACGACTTGCTAGTCCCCTGTGTACCAGCAGCTTTATACAACTCTGCTGATTCGGATATAGGAAATTCTTTGGGCCAATCAGCCGGCCGTCTTTGACCACGTTCTGCTATGAATTCAATGCTCGGTTGAGTATCCTCAGTGTTGGCAAATTGTTTGAATTGGGTACGGCGAGCAGGGTCTTTGACAACGGATGTCCATTCGCACTGGTATGTATCGAGGAGGCGAGCCATGTCTTCTTCGAGTTCAGCACATATGCCGAGGTGGTCGTCGATAATTACTCTTCGCAGATACTATTCACGGGAAAAGAAAGGAAGATGAAACCACACATTAATATATAGTTTTGGATGAAACAAAAATGTAAACAACGCCAAGAACACTTCAACTCCCCATCACTCGATACCAAAACTTACCTCTATACCACCTTCCATCTTCTCAAGCCATCGAGCGGTACGCGTGAGTTTGTCAGCAGTGTGGATGTAGTACATCATGAAACGATCCAAGTATTTGATACATAGATCTTCGTGAACATCCTTGGCCAGCAAGACAGCATGCTTCGGCTTCGATCCACCATTGCCACAGACATAGACATTATACCCCTTGTCCGTAGCAATCAAACCAAAATCTTTTCCTTGTGCCTCAGCACACTCACGAATACAACCCGAAACAGCACCCTTGATCTTGTGTGGAGCTCGAATACCCTTGTATCGATTCTCAATGCGAATGGCAAACCCAACAGAATCGCCAATACCATAACGACACCATGTAGATCCGACACAGGATTTGACAGTTCTCAAGGCCTTTCCGTACGCATGACCGGATTCGAAACCGTTGTCTACAAGTTGTTCCCAGATGTCTGGAAGATCTTGCTTAGCGGCACCGAAAAGATCAATACGTTGGCCCCCAGTGATTTTTGTATAGAGGTTATATTTCTTGGCGACTTCTCCCAAGACAATGAGTTTTTCTGGTGTGATTTCACCACCTGCCACACGTGGTACGACAGAATAGCTTCCGCCACGTTGTATATTAGCTAGTAGCCGATCATTCGTATCTTGTATAGTTGCATGATCCAAAATATGGTCATTCCACAAACTGGCGATAATCGATGCAACCGCGGGTTTACACACTTCACATCCATATGATCCTTTCCTTCCGACAGCATTGATGATTTGCTTGAAATCCTTTAGCTTTTTGATCTTGATTACTTGGAAGAGTTCGACACGAGTGAGCTCAAAGTGCGGACATAAGGCTTGTGTTACTTTCTGACCGCATGCTTTCATTTCTGCTGCGAAGATCTCTTGTACGATTGGGAGACAACCACCGCAACCGGTTCCGGCTTTTGTGCATGATTTGATTTCGCCGATGGAGCGGCACTTGTCCTCACGTACTGCTTCGCGGACTTGGCCTTTTGAAACGTTGTTACACGAGCTGGAAATAAGAGAATAATGAATTTATATTATTTTGTTATACAGAGACAAATGAATTATTGCTTACCAAACTTGCGCTTCGTCAGGAAGGTCGTCAGCCCCATCTGCATCGCCCGATTTGACGCCGAGGATAAGTTCACCGGGAGCTATAGTCAATGGTTTTTTTGACTTGCACAAGGCATGGAGCTTGGCATAGTCATCGGTATCACCGACCATAATACCACCGAGCAGGTGTTTCCCATCTTTAGTGAACACGTATTTTTTGTAAATAAAACCGAATGGGTCCTTGTAAATCAGTGGCATGGCGATGTCATCTTCGGCAAAGTAATCGCCAAAACTGGCGACGTGCACTCCGAGAAGCTTGAGTTTCGCGGAACAATCACCACCAAGGAAACGTCTATTGGAACCAGGAATAGCTAAATTCGCGGCAACGATGTCTGCCATATCGTACCCAGGAGCAACAAGACCATAAACTACACCGGCGTGCAAGACGACTTCGCCGATAGCAAAGATATTTGGATCGTTCGTCCGCAGGTAATCGTCAACGAAAACACCGCCACGCGCGTGGACTGAAATTCCCGATTCTTTGGCAAGTTCGTCACGTGGACGAATACCCGCAGCAACGACAACCATTTCCAGGTCTTCAACTTCATCATTCTCGTAGAGTATGCCTTTCACAGCTCCGTCTCCATCAAGAAGAATTTTTTTCGGTCCAATGCCAAGAACAACCTTTAAACTGAGTTTTTCGATCTCTCGAAGCAGCATCGCACCACCTTCTTTGTCAATTTGACGTCTCATGAGATGAGGATTCCGCTCTACAATATAAGTTTTTAATCCCAAGTCCAATAATGCCTTGGCAGCTTCAAGACCGAGTAATCCGCCACCAATAACGGCACCACGTTTTACCTTGGCGCTGTAAGCAATTATGTCTTCTAAATCGTCTATGGTGCGATATACGAAACATCCCTTCGCACTAATGTTCTCAACTGGCGGGACAAAAGGACTCGATCCGGTAGCGATAACACACACATCATAAGAGACTTTGTTCCCACGAGCAGAATGGACGACTCTGTTGACCTTGTCGATAAGAGTCACCTTGTCTTTTGTGTAGAGGGTGACATTATTTTCATTGTACCACGCTTCCGGTTGCATTAGAAGTCTTTCATCAGAGCGGTGAGTGAAATACTGGGTTAGGCCGACTCTATTGTAGGCAACTGGGAGACGGAAGAGGTACGCGGGTGGCGTTAGTGAGAGGTGTTCGCGGACGTGATCTTGAAAGAACTATAATGAAAATCAATAAATATGTGTTTAACGTTACCTCGAGACTCTTCGCAAAATGTCACTATGTTGAATCTTTTCTTGGTATCATATTTTAGAAGCTTTTCAATAAAATACAACCCAACCATCCCCAGTCCGACAACAACGACGTTCTTTCTGTCATTAATTATAACACCATTCGTGGCCATGATTTTTTAACAATATTTTTTTTAGTCTCCTGAGAACAAAAAGAATTGCTTTATTAGAACACAATCCATCTGAAAAAAAAATTTGAAATAACCAAATCAGGCAGGATTTTCTGGAAAGTAATTTTAGAGTGACAGGTTGTACAGCATCCGATAACGAAGAAGATCAGGATCAGAGAGTCCCATTGTCCTGCAGGAGCTTATCAGTATTTCGTTATCGCTGGTGTTACAACTTTTGTTATCGTTATCACAAAAGCTTATTGTAACAACAATGCACGCCAGCGTATCATGCATGTTTGCTAGTACAAAGTTAATTTTCTATTACACCTAATACAAATGGCTTTAGTCTATTAATTAAAAATATTGAATTTTGAATTCAAAATTATTATACATGTACATATTGTTGCGCTCTGTCCCGAAAACAAACTACTGCATGAATCAACCCTTTTATTGTGACCCTCCCTTCTTTTTTTTTCGGCGGCAAATTACGAGCAGTGTTGATATCAGAACATTAGACCAGTATTCCATTAGTTGAAGGTATATGCAAGCTTGATAGAAATATCGATTTTTATCTATATTTAGAGTTTACGGAAATTATATTCACTGAATTCTAATTGGTCGATACTAAAAAGATCGAAATTTCCCGATAGTTGCATGATTTTTTCAAACAGGTATTGATTAACAACATACAAAGAAAAAAATACTTAATGATAGTGTAACTATACGTACGTGTTATCTTTATGCATTTATTAATCCTTAAAAATGATCTAACGATAATGATAACAATAATAAACACGTTTTTGAATCTAGTTACCCTTTAATTTTGGCTAGCAATATTTATAATTTTGGCCAGCATTATCATGTGATATTACACAACATAAAAAGACTGATATATGAAATGCTAGACAAAGTTTCAGGAAAATTACCAATTAGACTATATCTGTAGTCAAATTACCAAATAAACAAAATCTAATAATTATAACGAATTTAATGATAAGATTCAAGATTTTGCCGCATTATCATTCTGTAATAATGATAAGATCTTTAGGGAATAACGATAACGATTTTTGACCCGTTTTGTAAATCTGATTTTCATGATCACTTTGATTGATTTCACTTTAACCTTCATGCACCAAGATCAGCCAACTACCAAACGCGGGACGGGTGGGGCGCGTGCAGAATGAGAGTTAACGGACAATCGGAAACCATAGTAAAAATAACGTGGCATTGGTCATTTCTAAGAGTGCATTTTAGTTTATTGAAAAATTCTTGAATTGGTACATGTACATATAGTGGTTATATTGAATGGCAAAAAAACTAGTAATTATGCTATCTATATGGTAATATTATCATACATAAAAGAAAGTGATGACTAAATGGAAAGGCACGTGATGACTAAATGAAAAGGCACGTGATGCTAAATTTTTTGCAAACACGTTATCAAAAAACGCATAATAGTTCTGATATAATGACAAATTTATCACCTTCCAAAATTTATGATCCTCCTACCCTCGACTTTGAGAAGAAAAGAGGAGAACGAGACACATAAGCAAAGAATTCCGATTACCATAAAGGCGATAGGCATATCTTTTTCGTATGCTTTAAAGATGACGGTCAGCACAAGTCCACCCACGTTACCCCCAGCTCCGACCAGACCCGAGATAGCACCAACGATCGGCGGGTCAACGAAGGGGACGATACCGAATGTGGTACCGGCGCACGCCTGGAGAGATTTTGACAGTTAGTTAAAATTCAATGATCAGCGCATGGGACCCAAACAGACCCAAATGCGAAACAGCAAGAATAATGGTAACATGACACCAACCTGTGTAAAGTAACTGAAGAAGACGAGCACGATGAGTGATCCGGTCAGAGTGTTGCTTGTGAATCGAAAGATGATCAAGAAGAGGCCTTCACAGAAAAGGACGCAGAACTGCGTAATCAGACGACCTCGGATACCCGCTCGTGCGTTGGTGGCATCGGATATGAAGCCACCTGAAGGCCGAGAAAAGAAATTCATGAGCCCAAAGAGCGCGGCAACTAAACCTCCAAATGACTGATTGAGGCCAAATTGATCTATGAAAAAGAGACCAATGACGTTGTCGACGGCAATTTCGAGTCCGAAACTACAGGCATACATGAACATGAGAATGACGACGTTGTAGTTCGTTATGGCCATGAGGAACTCCTTATTTGTTGGTCGTCGTGTATTCTGTTGTGTAGTCTGTTTCTCAGAATCGACATCGACGTTTTCTTGGTTTTTTTCTGCAATGGTTGTGCCAGGGTTGTCTTGTTTTTTTTCTGCAATGCTTGTGACAGGGTTGTCTTGTTTTTTTTCTGCAATGTTTTCAGTCTCAATCTTTTTTTCAACCCAATGGTTAGACCAATGGCCTTGCGGGCAATCATCGGAGAAAAGAAGAATGCACACACCGACTACAACCAGAAATACAACAGGTACAACAAATGCGACACGCCACGCCTGACTGTTCGTCAGACCAAAGAGGACAAACAAGCTGAATATCTGAGGCATAATCAAAGAGGTAACTCCTGCACCCATGTTTCCCCATCCGCCGACCAAGGCGTTCGCACTTCCGACAGTGCGACTGCTAAACATTTGTGTCGTCCAGAATTGGCAGGGAACAAAGGAGGCGCCGAGGATGCCGATGAAGAAGCGTATGGTTATTAGATCGGTTGCACTATTTGCCAGGCCTGCGAGTCCGATGGGAATGGCACCGAGGAGGAGTACCGTGGCCATGACGCGTCTTGGGCCCAAGCGATCGCAAAAGGGTCCGACGAGCAAACGGAAGAGGATGGTGGAGGAGACGGCAGCGATGTTGGAGTCGTTAACTTGAGATGGAGTAAGTTTGAGCTCTTTCCTAATTGTTGGCATCAGTGGGGGAACGGCGAACCAGCCAGTGAAGGCGACACAAAAGGAGATCCATGCGAAGTGAAAAGCTCGCATGTAAGGTCGTGCGATACTAAATATGTTTATTCCATCGGCCTTTGAGGTAGATTCATCAACGGGAAGTGGTTTTGCAAATAGGTTAATCATTGTGGCCTAGTTTGTAATTTCTCCGTTTCTTTGTAATGCGCCTTTTTTTTGCCGTGTTTCTTTTGAAAGGTCTTTCTTGCTAGAAATGCAAAATGTGCTTTCTCTAAAATTGCAAAATATCGAGACTTTAACATTTTCGTAGTGTGACGGAAAAAATAGGGTTCACTTCAAGGTCAACCCCACAATTGAGGGATGACTGTAACTCAAAGCTTATCAATTTTAGATAAGCAAAATTTCTAGTTTAATCAGGAAACGTCTTTTTGAATTTCTTCTTGCTATCGCCTCGTGGGTAAAGCATAAGTATATTGTATGACAACACGTTGAAGTGCATTTGCATAATGAAAACCAAATCGGAAAACTTATATACGTTGATTGGTAAAATTCATTACGCAATTCGCCGAAGATAACCTTATCCCAAAACGAAAAATGGATCAACCGTACATTATCGTTCATATTCCACAAATAACTAATTTGACAACTGATAGTTAATGACATGCATGATCCACAACATAGATAACTTTGACATGTCCAAATATGTCCTTGATAAGGTGTGCAAAATTTTCACAACATCATATCAGGTTAAATGCGTTATTTTTCACGTGTGACTATATGGGTACACCCTAATACAATATAAAATCGATATGGTTAGTGTACATTCGTGTACGTCCGGAAAAGTTCTCTATAATAAAGGTTAATGTTAAAGATTGATTCTAAGGTTAGATATAGGGGTTAGGGTTAGAGCTGAGATTAAAGTTATATGTAAAATTGTCTTCCCAACATTTTTAATTAATACTCCAGGATAGATATAAACATCTGTTTTCTCTATTATTTCATTTTTATCTTTTTGTGTCGGATTTGTTTTGCCGGTTTGATCAACAATTTACACATTCTCATTGGCTGCAGATCACAAAATGCGCCAAGGGTGTACATATGCATATCGCGAGTATATAGCAGCTCTATTTCACTGTGATTTACTCCCAATCCACAAAACTTTTTACCATGACGACAGTAGCTAAATCACACACAGAAGAATTTAACATAACTACAAAAATGACGAATGGTATAAACGTCTTAACACAAGGAATCCCTATAAAAAACAAAATCAACGAAGAAAAATCCACTACTCCTATCAAAGTAAATGCAATCGATCCTCGGGACGTTGGCACACCTGATGACTGGATTCCACGACATCAAAGTTTGGTGAGGTTGACGGGAAAGCATCCGTTTAATTGCGAGCCGCCGTTGTCAATGTTGATGGAGCAGGGGTTCATAACACCAAACCCATTACATTACGTGAGAAATCATGGTCCCGCGGCGAAACTCAGCTGGGAGACACATCGCTTGGCTGTTGAAGGGTGAGTCTCTATGAAATTTTAGTGGCACTATTGATCTTGTTCAACTGTTGACTAATTCTCATCTCATACAAACAGTCTAGTCTCAAAACAATTATCTCTAACAATGGACGAAATCGTCCGCCTCCCATCCCGCGAAATCCCAGTAACCCTCGTCTGCGCCGGCAACCGTCGCAAAGAACAAAACATGATCAAGCAATCCATTGGTTTCAACTGGGGTGCCGCCGCAGTAAGCACCGCAGTCTGGAAAGGGGTCCCGTTGCGTCACGTGTTGAAAATGGCTGGTGTTAGTCTCGACGAAGACGAACCGCGGTATGTTTGGTTCCATGGTTGCGATAAGTTACCAAAAGGATATTACGGCACGAGTATTAGCCTCGATTGGTCCATGAACGATGCGAATGATGTCTTGTTGGCATACGAGATGAACGGGGAGCGGTTGGCACCTGATCACGGGTTTCCCTTGCGGGTTATCATTCCCGGATTTATCGGTGGAAGAATGATAAAGTGGCTTACGAAGATCACAGTGTTGGATAAAGAGTCCGACAGTCACTACCATTATCATGACAACCGCGTACTCCCTCCACACGTTGATAACGAACTCGCAAACAAGGAAAAATGGTGGTACAAACCCGACTACATCATCAACGAACTCAACATCAACTCTGCCATCACCTCGCCCGCTCACGACGAACAGATTCCGTTCTCGAGCTTCGTGAGTACATCGTGTTATACTCTGAAAGGATACGCGTACAGCGGAGGTGGGAGGAAAGTCACACGGGTCGAGGTTTCAATTGATAACGGCAAGACCTGGACTCTGACGGAGTTGACGTACCCGGAACTTACACACCCATTGGTGATGGCACGAAAGAATAAACCCTTAAGGCGGCATTGGTGTTGGATATTTTGGGAATTACCAGTTCCGATCTTGTCGTTAATTCGGTGTTCAGAGATTATGGTTCGTGCTTGGGATGCGTCACAAAATACGCAACCCCAGGATCCAACTTGGAATGTGATGGGAATGATGAATAATTGTTACTTTCGGGTAAAGGTTCATACCGTTACGCAGGGGAAGGAGTTCGCGTTAACGTTTGAGCATCCTACTCAGCCGGGTAATATACCTGGTGGGTGGATGTATAGGAATAATATGAAGCAGGCGATATCTGAAGCGCCTAGTGTTGCAGCGAAGAGTAAAGTGGCCGACAATAACAGCAGCAGCAGTAACAAAAACAGCAAAACCTACACCATGGCTCAAGTCGCCAAACATGATAATGAAAATGACTGTTGGATTGTAATCGACAACAAAGTCTACGATTGCACAAAATTCCTCGCCCTTCATCCTGGTGGCGCCGATAGTATCACCATCAATGCTGGCACAGACTGTTCAGACGAGTTCAACGCTATCCATTCGCCAAAGGCACGTAAAATGTTGGAAGAATACTATATTGGTGACTTTGACGAATCCCCTTCCGCTCCTGTTTTATCAAAACCAGCACCAGCACCAGCACTCATATCCCAACCAACACCAACAATCCAATCAGAGAACTTAGTCGCATTAAATCCAAAAGTCTGGCTCTCCTGCCGGTTAATTTCGAAAAAAATTCTCAGCAAAGATACTCGCATATTCCGCTTCTCCCTCCCCTCAGAAAAACACCAACTCGGCCTCCCACCTGGTAACCACATTTTCCTCCGCGCAGTAATAGAAGAGAAAAGCATCATCCGCGCATACACACCCATAACATGTTCAGGTGACCCTCCGGGTTACTTTGATTTATTAATTAAAGTATACTTTAAAAACGTTCATCCCAGATTCCCGAATGGTGGATTTATGACACAACATATGGAGAGTCTTGCAATCGGTGAAGATATTGAGGTTAAGGGACCGCTTGGATCGATTGTATATCTTGGCCGAGGACAGTATCAAGTAAAGTCGGGTGTCACCACACATAAGCGGTCGTGTTCTAAGATAGGATTGATTGCTGGTGGGTCCGGGATTACTCCTGTGTACCAAGTAATCAAGACTGTCGTCGATGATCCCGAGGATACAACAGAGCTCTCCCTTATCTACGCGAATCAAACTGAACAAGATATACTACTCCGAGAGGAACTCGATAGTCTTGCGTCCAAGCACCCGAATTTCAAAGTCTGGTACACGGTTGATCGCCCACCCAAAGATTGGAAATACAGTTCTGGGTTTATTAACGAGGAGCTACTTAGAGAGCATCTTCCGGGTCCATTGCCCAAGGAACAGACCATTACTTTAATGTGCGGACCGCCGCCTATGCTGGATTATGCTTGTATTCCGAATTTGGTGAAGATGGGATTTTCCGAGCGGGAGTATTTTAAATTTTAGGTGGATTGGAAAGTGAATTTTAGTTTTGGGTGGGTGCGTGCGTGATTCTTCGGTTTATTTTTTTTGGTTACGTAAAGTTGAATTTTCGGGTTTTAGAATAACTTTCATTTTTATTTTATTTTGTAAATTCGTAGAGAAAATCCAAAAATCCATTCATTAAGCCCTCATTTGTGCCATACCATATAAGTAACTTATTATTGACAAGTTTTATTTATTAATATTAGTTTAATAGTTAGGTGGTGTATTACTTTGAAACTTTTCAGATAGCGATAGCGATATTTAATTTAACTCTACTAATTATTAAATCAAATTATTTGTATATTATTTATTTTTTATTTACATTTTACAGTTGAAAAATATGCATAAGTTTATTTGTACTATATACTGAGCATCAAAAAATAAAACATTCAAAAAATGTCAAGAATTTAAGATTTTAAGAATTTTAATATTCAAAAAAAACTTTAAATTAATAAACAGTTGATTAACTAATAATTTAAGCTAAAATCTCTTAATTACTCGGTGCAATTTCTTTACTAAATTAATAGCCTTGAGGTTAAGTTTCAACTTTTTAAGAGTTTGTTATATCAACGGTCACTGTAACGGGTTATGCAACATTTGACGAAACGAAATTAAAAATCGATATACCAAAGGACTGAAGAATTTGTATCATGACTTTTCATCCTGAAAATCAAGAAATTCACCAAATAACGATAATTTAGTGATCCGATTTTCAGCACTAGCTGTATCACATGAACCATTTCTGATTGGCGAGATTTCTTCATGTAAAAATACATGATTGCTTTCATATGATAGTCTAAACTCTACAATAAAAATGATATATTTTACAAAAATGGAATTTAGAAAAATTAAATCATTCTTCAAGATAAGTTCTATCAAACTACTGATCAAAAAAGCTCTAGATAAAAAATTATAGATATTAAACTTGGTCACTTTATATGATCAGTTAGGGTGTTTAATCGACTAATTAAAAATGTAACAACTGATGCTGAAATTAGCGCATCCTATTGGCTGAACAATTTCCATTCTCTAATTTCATTGGTCAATTTCAGCATCAGCCGCAACATTAAAGATTTTGCAGATCATTTTTTGGTTTTCGAAAGAAAGAATAACAAAAATTCATGGTTTTGAAGTTACTTTTTTGCAAGTATGGAGTTATTAACTTAACCAAAAATTTGAATATTTACTATTACAAATCCCAAAGAACAAACCAATAATGTGATTTTTAAATTGTGTCTTTATTTACATCTTTTTTTGCAAAAAATAATGACAACAAAACTTTGTTAGTAGGTTATATCTTATAAAAAATCTTAAGAGCTATCGATTAAAAAAAAATTGACCCAAAATCACGAATTGTTGAGAAAAAGTAATTAAATATTTCGTTGGTCAAAAATGCATGGATTACTTATACACAGATAGTGACACATAAAAATTGAACGCGAATAACAAAATAAAACTAACAATTGGTTAATAAACCTGAATTTATCATTAGATAAAAGCTTTATTTTTCGATAGGCATTTTGTAAAATATATGACATTGCTGCTATTTACGTATAATGCCAAAAAGTCTATATAAACCAAACTCGTTTATGCCGAACATTTTTGAAAAGATTACCATTATCTGAGAATGACCCAATAGATATTGACGCGAATCAGAATCTGAATGATTCCACTCCCTGTAAAATTCTAATAGATACTATAATAAAATAAACTTTGTAACTTGTCAAACGCGTCAATTATATTTCTAGTCACAGTTGCAAAGAAATTAGCAGAGAATCAATATTCTGAACAGCATGTAATGGATAAACGCAAACATATATTGCAGACTATTCTTGATATGAAATCGAGAAATTGATATTAGCAAGTGCTCTTTTAACTAATATGCACTATTCAAAGGGACCACGTACTGGAAAAATCCTATCTAAGCATCTACAAAATAAAGCAATTAAATACAGTCAACTCTAAATGCACACCGCCGGGAGACATGAAAATCAAACCTGAGAGTGCATTTAGAGAGTTTGGGCATTTATAGAAAGCATTTTACTTAGTAATATTATTAATTTGGAACCAAATCAAGATTGCATTTATAGAATGGAAACATAGTGTGTGCATTTATAGAGAGTTGACTGTATATTGAATCCACTTTCTGTCGTGTCTCTATAGATCCTATACATACCGTGAAGATTAATCAAACACTTCAAAAATGAATTAACCTTCTACAAAAGAAAATCACATTACTAAATAAAAAATAGGAAAATTCGTAAAACATGTATTTCATATATTCAGGAAACCTTCAAAATCTACAAAATATCAAGAGTTGCTTTTTGAAAAAGGAACTGAATATAGTGCTAAAACAGTTCTAATAGCAACTAAAATTTGCGAAATTGGTAAGATGTCATATAGATCTGCTATTGAATGCAATAAAACTGTAATTGAATGGCTGATTGATGAAGAACCTGACAAATAGTTTTCAGTTAGCACGCTTGTAGGATGGCATAAAGATGTTGCTATAATTCATTTGATACAACAATGTGCATCTGTAAAAAATTCAAATTTTTCACCTTTGAAATTATGGTTGATGAGTCAACTCGAGAAGAAACTAAAGTATTTGTCATATGTTTTATGTATTGGAATTCTGAGTCTATTAAAATACTGTTATTGGAATTATTAAATTTGGAATTTGAAATTGGAATAAGTATTTTTATTTTTAACTAGTTATTTGAATTATGATTTATATTTCTAATATTTTTATTTGTTATTTTGATATTTCTTAGTAATGAGAAAAACAAAGTGAAAGAGACTTTGTTATTTTTGTTATTACTAATTGCATTTTTCTAGCTTTGAAATACTTAATACTAGTACAGAGAAACAGAACTTTCAAACTTTTTTTATTATATTTTTTATAATTTTATAATATTTTCTCTTCTTTTTTGAGTTTTAATTTTTTATAACTCTTTTATACTTTTATTTTTCTTTAAACTATAATAATTTTAATAGAAATCAGTATAAAACTTAAATATTTTTTTATTATTATTTTTGTTTTTTTGTTTAATTCTCTTTTTTAATTCTTGCTCAAGTTTCAAATTTGTAAGTTAATTTATTGATTATTGAACAAACTTATAATATTAAAATATTATAAGTTTGTTTATTAATTAATAAATTAACTTATAAAAATTAAACAAAAATACAAAAAAGATTATATAAATTTTATTAAAATTATTAAGAAAAAAAATATAAAATAAAGAGAAATATATAATATTTTATTTTTTTGTATTAATATTAAGTATTTAAAAATTAAAAAAATATAATTAGTAATATTAAATTAATAAAGATTCTTTTACTTTATTTTTTTATAAATAAAAATATCAAAATATCAAAATTATATAATATTATCAAGTTAAAAAATTATTATAATTTCAATTATCAAAATATAAGAATTAAGTATATAAAATTAAATAAAAAATTAATAATAATTTTGAATTAAAGTTTTATAAACAATTATATATTATAACATATAAAATATATAGATTTTTTTCAAATATTCAAAGTATTTAAAAAGTAATTTTTATTAGTATTCTTTAATAATATATAAAATAAATAAAAAAATATTGTGAAAATAAAACTAAAATTAATAGATAATAATTTTTAAAATTTTGTGAAGCAAAATTTTTTAAAGGAAAAACAAACATTATAATAATAATATTATAGTAGTAATATAAATATTACAAATTACAAAAATAATTAAAAAACATGAAAATTCTAAAAATATTCATATAATAGCAAAATTTTTATAGATTATTTTACTTTTTAATTATTTAACTTTTTTGATTTTTCACTTTTATATATATTCTTTTACTTTTTAGTTATTTTATTTTTTTGATTTTTCACTTTTATATATATTCTTTTACTTTTATATAATTAGTTATTTTACTTTTATTTATTTAGTTTACTTTTTGTATTTTCAAAAAATATATAAATAAAAATACTATCTGAGTCTTAATTTGATATATTATAACTAAAATAAAAATCTCTTTTAACAAAAATCTTCTTTCAAATACCTCTTATTTTTCATATTTTCTTTATATACTTTAAATTTTGTGTATAAATAATCTTATATTATATTATATCTAATAAATTACTAATAGTTTAATATCATATTGTACTAAGCAAATCATTATTATTAACTTGAGTTTTCTATTATATTATACTAAACAAATTATTATTATTGAACTATCAAACTTTATATCATATTGTGCTAAACAAATTGCTATATTAGATTATTGAAATTGAATTTTAAGTATTTTAATTTTTGTTATTTGAATTTTTGATTATTAATAAATATTTCTAACTTATAAAAAGAACAAAGTGAAAGAGTCTTTATTATTATTATTATTAATTATATTATCTTAGCTTTGTAAAATGAACTGGATATCCTTTATATGATTCTACTTGGAAATCTTTGAATAATCTTAAAAATACAATAAAAAAAGTTAAAGCTTTTGAAAAAGCATATTCTTAATACAATATGAACATTATCTTTTAAGAGAGAAAATAATTGTAACAATTTTCATATACTCTTGTATTTTCTTGTATTATATTCATCATTTTTTATGTTATATTTATTATTTTTTGCATAATATGTTAGAAATTAATACAGATTTACATTTAATACTTCTTAATATTTTACCAAATAGATTAGATATAAAATGTAGATTATATTATTAATTTAATAATAGAGAAGAATTCTTTTCTATATCAACTCAAAAAGAAAAAGATATCATTGAAGAAATATCTCAAGAAAAATCTAAAGAAGAATCTTCTGATTCTGAAATTTGGAAAGATCAACTTGAAAAATTACTTAGATAAGTATATACCAAAAAATTGGAGAACATTGAAAGAATAATTATTTATTATAAAATTGGAAAATTAATCAACAAATCTTCAAAAAAATACAAACTTCAACAATATAAATTAAAAGGTGA